GTAAACCACTTAATAAGTCCCTTGTCAACCTTTTCATGTGCAGATAATTTTAACTTCCTACATCTAACATTTGTTTTGTCATACGCTGATAAAATGTTTTCTCTGTTTTTCCATATTGTTGCAACAGTAGACTTTCCAAGTGCTAATTCCTTACAAATGTCACTCTGCTTTACTCCACTTTTTATTTTGTTAATAATCTCGTACTTTTCATTTAGTGAAAAAGCTTTGCGTTTTTGTTTTTCCATTCTAAAACGATTTACATACATAACGCGGCAAAAAACAACAAGTCACTGCCTGTCTCTCGCTCTCACTAATATAAACAACTCCGCACGATTGGTGTTGCTGAGCGTGGAAGTTCGTTATAAACGGAAAGTGAATATACAACTAACCTAAAAAGTTATCGTTATATCCGGAGGTTCGTTATAACTATTAAAAAATATGTTGGTCTTTATGGACGACGTTTCAATTAAAGGAAAAAAGTTCGTTTCAAGCGAAAGTTCACTATAACCGGGTTCATTATAAGCGGACTTTACTGTATATATATGCTGTCAGAATTTTAATTCTACTACTGATATGATTAAAGATTTTACATCAAACATAATGTATCAATAAAGAAATACTGATAGTAAAGTCACATCGATTGACTTAGAGTATGAACAAGAAGAAACTGAAATGTTAGACCTACTTCGAGAATTTGATGTTCCTTGCATTAGTATAAGTGAAAATTACTGGATTAAAAAAAAATATTTGTCCCATTAATATATTTTAGACACACAACATATATAATTTCAATTCAATATGTTAGAAAATCTAAAGTTCTTGTTTAATTTAAACCGTTCCGCTTTGATTTTATTGCTTTACCCGCGTTTGAATTTACTTGGCGCCAAAACCGGCGATTCTTGTCCGGTAGTTGGCGACATCGCCATTTCTCAGTGCAGTCACCCTGACTATAAAGAGAATAGGAGTGTGGTTATTACCAAGTGTAGATGGCAGCACAGATCACAGAGGTTACCTCTGTGATCTGTGGATGGCAGTTGTGAAGGTTGTCAGCTGTGGTTGTCAGTTTTTATTTTGGGGAATATTTCATATAAATCCTTAATAACAATTAAGAAGAATGAACATTGTGAACAATATAATTCGAGCCGTTTGCTGGCCGCGAACTCTGCCCTTAGCTGTTGGACAGAGTTTGGCCCAGAGTACCAGCCATATTAAACCAATCGTTAATGTTACTAGTTTATTACTTAATCGTTTTGCTGCCTTGTCGGTGCAAGGTAAGACAACGGCTTTTTACTTAACACCTATTTGCTTGCCCATGTGTTATTACAATGGTTTCGGCTCAGCAGTAGGTAGCTGTATGTTTGGAAACACTTGTTTCAACGCATTGTTGGAATCTTAAAAGTTAAAAGTTCGAGAATCTTACGGATTGAAAGTATGAATAGCAAGCACGTATAATTTTTCATAGTTTGTTCCCATTGAACTGTCGCGGTAGACCTGAGAAGGTTATTCCCTCGGGTCACCCCTTTTTAAAACCTGCATCTGGTGGCGATTGTATAACCGCTTGCCTTATTGGAACCTTCCAGCTTGCGGTTCGTTTAGGCCGATTATTACTTCTTATTTATTGCCAGAATTCGTTTTGCTTATTTGGTTGTTCAGGGATTCACAAAAAAGGGATAAATTGAGTTCCAAATTCCTATTAAATGAACAAAACAGGCTCCATTTTTATTTGGGGATATAAAAGGAGTAACGTATGGTTTATACTAGGGCTCGGAATCAAACTCGAATATTCGACTATTCGAATAAATCACTAAACGAGTATTCAAATTTCAGTTTTTTTTAAATTCCGAGCACTAGTTTATACCACTGCAAACATTGGCCTTTTATTAGATAATACAGATAAGTTGAGTCACATTTTTGATTAGGTACCTCTAATAAATTTCACATCGTTTAATTGCCTACTACGTTCTTGAAAATGCGACCACCTGTGGTCGGACCTATTTTGTCTAAAGCAGCAACTCGACAGAACGTTTACTTACCCTATAGATTATCAGAAAAATTCCTAAATAGGCAGGTGTTCCAACGAAGGTCCATTAATGAAAGGGCTCTGGCATTAACAATTACAAGTCTTGGCACTATTAAAGTGCACTATTACGACCAATTCGATTTTTTTTTGTAAATTTCTAGAGCGCGGCATGGCCTCATTGGCGCAAATGCACAGATCGGGCCCCCATGTGAAGCCGAGAAATCCAAAACGAGTGCTGGATGGAAGGCCATTCATGAAGGGGGTCGTCCTGAAAACGTTAATAAAAAAACCAAAGAAACCAAACTCGGCCAACAGGAAATGCGTTTTGGTGCGGCTATCCAATGGAAAGGAAATGGTCGCTTATATTCCTGGTATCGGGCACAATCTCCAGGAGCACAATATCGTGTTGTGCAGGGTGGGACGTCTACAGGATTGTCCTGGAGTAAAATTGAAATGCGTGCGAGGGAAATACGACCTAGGACATGTTATCAAGCAAACGAAATAGGCGCTGTAATTTTTTTGGGATAATAAAAAGTAAACCAGAATTAGATGTTTCAATAACTCGGCAAGTTCGAGTCCAACAAAACCATTCGAATTCGAATGTTTTTGGGGCATAATTAGGCACCAGCGTGACCGGACGTAGGCTCAAAAGCATTTTCTCAAAAGAAGGTAGAAGCAGCTTTATTTAACGGTTAATGCACAATATGCTACCAGCTTATTTTGTTGGCACAACGGGGTTTTGTCGTAGAACTTCTTAGTCTTGCATTAGAAAGTGCAACTAACTGCGAAAGAGAAAAATGTATCAATTGTGCAAAATGTCATGGTATAACTCTAATATTGCTTTTCTTTGGGCAATAAAGTAGAAAGGGTTTTTTAATGGTTTCGCAAAGAAATGAACAATGGGGTTCTTTCAGACAAAAAGCGTTATCGGCTTCTTTTGTCTACCGTAAAACGGTCAGATGTACGTCAACCCTTCGCCATTTCCCGTTATTGTATTTCCTCTTGCAACCTGCCTAGACAGGTGGGGAAGTTTTCAACTCCCATATAATACTGGCATTCCGTTTTTTGAGTTTAGTCGTATTGGCCTCGAGAGTACTACTGCTACCTACTCTATCATAGCTTCAAGCTTCAACTTACATTTCGGTTAACATCAGGACCTCTCCAGAGAATCCAACAGTTTTGTGGGTGTTGAGTTGTAGTGCAATAATCAATTAGTGCAATTAAAGGTAAGTGCACCTTTGAACAGTTTCGATATTTAAAAGTGATTTTTCAATATTAAATTTTTTTTTATAATATTTTGAAATCAATTTTGTTTATTTATCTGGTAAGCGATGCTTTTTTACGTGCTTGCATTAGATTCATCGGTCAGTATTGAAGACATCCTCAGAATTCTAAAAGAATAAAAGAGAAACCGGTGCCAAAGTAAAATCAAATTTAAGCATTGCATTCATAGTCTTTGCGCAAAAAAATATGTCTGTTTGCCACTTAACAATGTTAAACGTTAACTGCAAATATGCGCCGCGTAAACGTGTACGCTTTCACGCAAATTGTCTTCACAAAACCCTAATACTTAACTTACCGTGTAGAAATATTTTTTTCGCAAAAACTACGAATTCTACAAGATTTTACAAAGAGCACAAAAGTGTGCAAAAATGATTAGTGCATCAACCAAAAAAAAATAGTTGATTTCATCTACAAAATAAAAAGTTCTGGTAGTTTTTGTACTACGATACTAAAGAATTCACCACTTGTCCAAAACGGCTGAACTCGATTGTTTCATAAAAATATGAGTCTTACATATGAACAATTTGACAGCGAGTTTCACGAAAATACATCGTACCATTTTCCCGATATTTAAAAAAAGATTCATTTTTTGAAGAACCTTGACCATCAATAGCAGAGGAGCCAGACATTTTTTGTTAATAAAACGTAGATCGATAATCTTCTTTTGATGCAAAAAATATCGCAGTATCCTTTTAATCATGTGCTTACCGGACACCCTGTTTAACAAGCAGCTTTGGTATCCTACACAAACAGTAATTTTTCTTTATTTTCCTGACTGTGTGTAATTGTTATTGCATGTTTATTTCCTGGGTATCAGTCAAAATGTGAAATAAAAATGTTCATATCGTTTATTTCATATAACGTTTCGGCGAGACAACAGCGCCATCATCAGATTTAAAATACAAACACCAATTTACATGTACAACATATAAATTACACATTTATATGTTGTACAAAAACTGTAATTTACAAACCAAACCTTTCAAGTTAGGGAAACAAATTATCATAAAAGAAGAATCCAAGAAACGATACAAATAAAAAAACATGCAAAAGCAGTAAATTTCAGATTACATACCGACAACCTTAGCAACATTTACCAAACCCTAATCAAGCCATAAGTATAGAACACCCAGTACACTAGTGAAAAACTATTTTCGATTATCTCAATACATGCATACCATTCTCGCAAATGTAGGCAATAATTCAAACCAATGTGAGGTTTCAAGACAGCCAAGCGTAAAGAGAATCTAATATGTCCCAATTATGGGGTAAGTTTTCAAATGTTTTGCTCTCCCAGACAATTTTTTTCCTTAAGAACTAATAAATATTTTAACGCTTTGTAAATTACAGTTTTTGTACAACACATTTTAATTGCAAATTGGTGTTTGTATTTTAAATCTGATGATGGCGCTCTTGTCTCGCCGAAACGTTATATGAAATAAACGATATGAACATTATCATTTCACATTTTGACTGAAACCCGGGAAAGAAAAAATATAATAGTAATTTTTTCTGCCAGGAACAAGATGTCGATAGTATTATTAGACTGATCGACCTGCAAATACTTGAAACCTCTAAGGAATGCGTATTTGTTTGGCAAGAAAAAGCAAAATTTCCTTACCTATTTTAAATTCCAATAAGGTTTAATTTTTCGATTTCTTGACTGATGAATAAATGAAGCACATGTTTTTCTAATTGCAAAGTGTAAAATCAATTATAATCGGTTAGAATCGGATCAAATTGAGACTTATGTTTCAGGAACAGTTTCCATTAAGCCCGAACCAATGGATAAGAATAAGGAGTACGAAGAGAAACGGTCAAAAAACAACGAAGCAGCAAAGAAGTCAAGAGAAAATCGTAAAAATCGCGAGGACGAAAAGGCTCACAGCGTTGCGCGAAATTTGAAAATACTGAACCAGTTAAACGAGGAATTAAAAAAGAATTCCTTACGTGACCAATCTACTTCAAAATATATGAAAAATGACAAGTATTCATCATATGCAGGAAATGATAAAAATGCCAAATATAATAAATAATCTGGAATTTTGAAAGTAAGCGTTTTTTAATTTTAAGTGATCAATTAAATTATGCAAAAAAAGTAATCACTTTTTCTGAGATTTTATTTTTCTCGACCCAATGCTTGCTTACAAAGTGTTGTTAAATCTAGGATATTGAAGAAGAGAATACCGGAAGAGACCTGCCTGTGCTTTCTTCCCATTTGGTCCATTATGTCTCGCCCGTATTCCGTTTTTTTTACATCCTATAATTTACAATCTGTTACTATAACATTTAGTAAATGGTTTGGCTTTAAAATTGTCATGAGAAGTTAAGTCCAATGACTTAGCCTCTATAAATCGTTTCTTATAACAATATACATTATAATGGAATATTTCATTTTCTTATAAAATTCTATACGTTCAGGACCTTTTTTTGCATTAGATTTTATTTGGACATGTCCTTAGTTGGTTTACTTTTATAAACTGGCAAAGTACAATTATTTGTTTTATAAATTACTGATGAAAAACGCAATCTCTTTTTTGTTTAGCAAGTTTTGGCAGTTCTCTCTTATTTGACCTAAGTTCCAACCAAAGCAGTACGTTGTTAATAATAATCAATTAAATTTTACCAAAAACATATCTTTCTTTCCGCTCGCCATTGCCTTCTCACTTATTAGATCATTGACCAACGCGTACGGTATTTTTCAGATTGTCTGAACCACTGTAGTCAATTCGCTAAAGTAGTAGCGATTCTGCCAAAGTAGTAGCGATTCTGCAAAATGCCTTACGAGTTGGTCAGTTTGCAGAATGCCTAGATATTTTGCATATTGCCGGTAACATATTCAAGTTAGTCACATTTTCAATGATTCAGCCTGCACATGAAAACAATGAAACCGTTTGCCTTCATGTTGAATTCCCCAACAAATCCTAAAGGAAAATCTATCAAGTCTATTTGAAGACAAAAACGCGCTCGTCACGGTGAAACTGAGACAAAAGAATTGAAGAAAATGCTGAATTAATTTGCGAGAAATCGGATTAACGAGTCAATATCTGTAATGGGCTTTAAAGGCTCCAAAACAATGATGATTCTGCCGAAGATGACTTTGCGCGAAATATTTTAATAAGCGAAACTGTACTTGACACGTATACAAGTAATGAAGCTTCGTTCCAATAAACAATCAGCAAACGATATTGCAATCTGTAATTGACGGCTCATCCTGTATGGTAAATACCTACTTATTAGAAACACGCAATTTCTTACACGATTATTGATTAAAAAGTAGCAAGTATTTCCTTAGATAATCTAGTTTAATGTCATTAGCGGGTTGCGACATGAAAAAATGCATTTAATTTCCTTGAATTATACGTATTTTATGCAATAAACGCGATGCACGCAAATTTTCCGGCAAATATTTTGACTGTCTCAATCAAACCGTTCAAACCAAATCATAACGAAATTGTGCTATCGTGTATTTGCTGTTATTTGATTCATTAAATTTCAAGAAGTTTGTTGGTTTTTAATTTTTTTTAATGACATCACAGTTTTTGGCAGTATTTTAGCGCCGATCAAAGCTCTTATATAATGCACCGCTTATGTAGAAAAAATCTGATCTTAACCGTGTGTACATGTATTGTTTTTTTTTAGCCCGCTGACCCCAATCACATAGCAGCAAGAGGAAGCAAGAGAGGGCAGAAAAAATGGAAATTGTTTCTATCTATCTATTATTATTATTACTATTATTTTATACATATGTTTATGTATTTATTTTAATATATTGCCTTTCAAACTATCCAGCTTTCATAGTTATTGAAAAAATCGCAAAAATATGGTTTCAAAAGAACTGCAAATATCTCGGCACTCCAGTCGGTCGGCCGTCTTAAGCTCCATAAAAAAGTTGGTGCTGACTTTTCCGCTTGGATCGATAATAAGCGAGCAATTGACGATTTCCGAAAATTATGCAAAATTTTGGAAAACAATTTTCGAAATTGTCTCCAATTTTGTGATGTCAAGTTTCGGCAAATGTTGACATAGAAGGTGTTGTCATCACACTTGAAAAATTATTTTTCAATACAAAAAGTTGTATTTTTTTTACGAAAACGAAGCATCCTATCGGAAAAAGTTATTTTTTATAAAATCTCTGGCCCATCGAGCACTATCCAACGGTACTATTGTCAACTTTTCAGCTTTCATAGTTTTTGAGCAAATTTCGAAAATATGGTTTCCAAAATTTTGCATAATTTGCAAATATATCGGTAACCAAAATAGCGCATCTGCATTTAACCACTCCAGTCGGTCGGCCCTCTTAAGCTCCATAAAAAAGTTGGTACTCAATTTTTCGCTCCAATCAATAATAAGCGAGCAATTGACGATTTCCTAAAATTATGCAAAATTTTGGAAAAAAATTTCCGAAATTTTCCCCAATTTTGTGATGTCAAGTTTCGGCAAATGTTGACAAAGAAGGTGTTTAGTGATCTAAAGCAATCCATTACATTTGAAAAATTATTTTATTTTTATTTTTGGGAAGCATTTCAGTTGATCGGTACCACAATTTGCCGATTACATAGAGTTAAATGGAGTTTTTTCCTTTCACTTTGCCGAAACGATTTGACATGGGGTGGATTGGTATTTGTCTCAATACTAATTGGTGCAATTTCAACTTATTCTAATGTCATTTGACAATTTTATTCAATTTTGGAAATTTCGCCTCCATAAGAGCCCGTACAAACTGTGTCGTCTTCTCCCTGTAGCTCACAGAGAAAATTTTTTGAACCAACCCAAGCTGATTTGTCATGTAACTTTTCCATATCTAACCACATGCCAACGAATAGTAAGAAAAAAAATTTAAAATATTTTGTCAAATATTTTGGCGGTACACCCTTGCGATTTTTTAGAAATTTTACATTTTAATTTTTTTCACGAAAACGAAGCTTTCTATCGGAAAAAGTTATTCTTTATAAAATCTCGGGCCCGTCGCGCACTATCCAACGTTATCAACTTTTCAGCTTGCATAGTTTTTGAGCAAATCTCGAAAGTATGGTTTCCAAAAAACTGCAAATATCTCGGTAACCAAAAGAGCTCCACTGAATCTAATCCCTCCAGTCGGTCGGCCGTCTTAAGCTCCATAAAAAAGTTGGTGCTTACTTTTCCGCTTCGATCGATAATAAGCGAGCAATTGACGATTTCCTAAAATTATGCAAAATTTTGGGAAACATTTTTCGAAATTTTCCGCAATTTTGTGATGTCAAGTTTCGGCAAATGTTGACATAGAGGGTCTTTACTGATCTAAAGCAATCCATTACGCTTGAAAAATTATTTTTTCCCCAAACTGAAGTCCCACAGTTTTGGGAAAACTCAAACTTTTACAGTGTCAATCTAATCTATCTGTAGAAGATCGATAATGCATCAAAGCAAGTACCATTAGTGCTTTTCGCTTCTAAGCTATAAACATTGAATGTTTTGCTTTACATGAGCTCTTATGGGTGCGACATTTTAATTTTACTTTTTGAATGTCAAAAACGCCGAATAATGTCAAACTATTTGACAGTGTCTTTGTGTCTTCAAAACAATAGCTTAAAAAASATTTTCAAGTMGCTGTCTTGACTTATTTTTCGATCGACAATTTCGTTTACATGGGYTCTGATGGGAAAAAGGCAAAATTTTGACTTTAACCTTCAATTGAGRCACCTCAAATTTGTCCTAGGTTAATGAGGTTTCACGATCAGACAGCCCCATTATCTACAATCTGRTGTSAAAATTTTCAAAATTCCTTCATAATTGAYTCGAGCARAAATATCCGGCTGCGTCGTCTACACCGGTTAATGGGGAGTTCGCTMATTTTAATCAATATTACATTTAGAAAAGTGAAAGCCTTCATAGTCTGTTAATCAATATTGGTTTTAATTCAAAAGCAGTTCAAAACCAATATAGAACATTTATATCGAATAGGCCTAGAATTTTACGAATAGCTCGAAAACGCAGTTAAAAGTACGGCATTTCATTAAAAAAAGGTAAGTTTGGTCTGCCACTTGAATTTGAGACACCCTGTATGAATAGGTATTATCTTAAAATAATCTAGACGTTAGTATCTACAACTTTTGTATTTAACATTTCTCGCTAAATTTCAAATTAGATGCAAAAACGAGGTGGCCAAGTTCAACTAATACCCCTGTACATGACAAAAGGTGCAAGTTGAATGCATAAACATTATCTGTTAATAAATAAGTTAATTAGCCTACGCCATTGATTGCTCTCCAGTTTTTAGGGTTCCCGAACAGTTTTCAAGTTGAGCAAACCTCAAATCGATGTTAATATTACCCAATTAAGAGTTTCCTTCGCGGCGGTCTTGGCCATTGTTACTGTGTCCGACATGGTCATTATCTATTCATACGGTTCTGATTCAACTAATAAGTAGGTTTCCTCATTTCAATATTCCCGAATGACAACAAAGGCAAAATTCCACGCAAGTTTTTCAATTGTGGCCAATTAAAAACTCGGATGTAAAGATGTTTTGACCGGGGGTCAAAGAATGCTACTTCTTTCGGGGATATTAACCAGGGCTCCGAACTGTATAATTGTTTGTTATTATCATAGTTTGTATTGTACTCATTGTGATTGTGTTATCACTGCGAGGTTTAGCAGTCGATAAATCTTCAAAAAACGGACAGATCCTCGGCCTTGGAGCACCCTTGAAAACTAAAACGGTTTACCATTGCCATAACAGACTCAAGAGATATTTATTTTGAATTTGGACCGTGCATGATCAACGGTAAACACTATCTATCTATACCTGGTTTCTTGAGGGTGCGAGCGAGCGAGCGAGCGAGCAGCGAAGTACAACCAAATCGAACGAGTTCAACCTTCACCCAGCAATTGTTCTGTTGTAATTTCCTATGTCCCATAGATTCAAGACCTTGGTGCGGGGTTGGGGCTCATGTTCCTATATAAATCAACGATCGCATTCGAGCTGTCATCAGTTCAACCGCTTGAAGAAAAGTATTCGCTTCGGGGTCCTGTGATTTATAAATCGCTTTTCCAACATGGCAAATATTTCGGTGAGCTTTTTTAAAACACCTTAAGAACCATACTTGAACACTGTTTCAGTTTGTAGCCCTATTCGTCCTAGTCTTAGTGTTTTACGTGATAGCTGCACCAGCCGCTGATGTAGAAAGAGTGGAAGTGACGCAAACGGCTCAAGATGTTGAAGATGTGCAACCCTCCGAGACCAAAAAAGCGAAAAGAGGAATCTATGGAGGAGGTTTCGGGTATGGATTCGGGCATTATCCCTCATTTTACCCGTATGGTGAGTGCACATTATCGATAGGCACTTGATTGTCGTATAATTTGACATTGTTTCTTAGGTCACTACGGGTACGGCTATGCACATTATCCCTACTACTCCTTAGGATATGGACTTCACGGGTACGGTTACGGTGGACACTATTTATGGTAGATTTCTGCAAATTATCCCTAACGAATAACACGCAATATAAAAAAATATATATCAAATATGAATTTAGGACATCAGTGTTTTGCCCCATTTGTTTTCAGATTTGTACTAAATTTGCTTTGTATCTAATTAAATAATAAATTGCATGATTTCGATTTGAGCATTTTATTTCAATTACGGCCATTCCACCTCTGTGCTCAGTGAGATAACCATTCGGTCAAAGCGATTTGAATTTTGTATATAAATAGATGTAGATAATGAGATGATGGCGGGCTCAGATGCAAGTTAATTGAAGTCAATATGAGCGACTTAAAGATTGCGGTTGTGGGTGCCGGAGTGATCGGTGTAACAACCGCTTGCCAATTACAAAAGCGATTTCGAAATGCAAAAATCGACATTTTGGCCCATGAATTTTTCGAAGATACTACCAGCTACGTGGCCGCGGGTCTTTTCCGTCCTGGGACCAGCTTTTGCGGACCCTCTGAAGATATAACAAGGTAAACACTCGGCTCTAAAAAAGTGGCGCTCCCGATTTTTTTGTAAAGTTTAAAGTCTTCTAACTTTCATATCAGTCACGCGATTTTAGAATGTTTTGATGCACTTTTTAGCTTCATTCTTTGCCTATTGCTCAATGGTAAGAATTGTTGATTCGCCATTTTTCGTGACAATTAAATCAATTTCATGTGCTGGCTTCAAAGTGTGAAAGTTGTAGGTTGATACTTGCGTTATATTGGACAAACTTTTAAAGTAGAGGGTGCAATTGATTGCAAACGGGTATTTTTAGGTCAAAATTTACTAAGTGGGTAAAAATCAGGATACAGGGCGATTTGAATAAAATTTTCAGCACTTTCGGAATCAATTGTCTTCAGCAGAGGGTAAAAGTTTCAAGTTACTATGTGTTTTAGGTTGAAAGTTACGAATTTTTCAAGCAGCGGGTGCATTTGAGTGGAAGTTTCATTTTCAAGTTAATATTTAACACGTCACAAAAAACCTGTATATTGGAGGATTTTAATGACAATTTTAGCAATTTCAAACCCACGTATTGGTCTTAAAGTTTGAAAGTTGGTACTTGTGTTACATCGGAAGTTACAAACTTTTAAAGAAGAGGGTGTAATTGATTGCCAACGGATATTTTTAAGTTAACATTTACAAAGTCAATAAAATCCGCAT